ACACTGGGGGATAATTTATAATTTCATGCAATTAACAACATTACTGCCGCTGTTCTTCCACCTGTGCAAATGTGTGGATTCTGTTGCAGGTATTTAATAAACCTCAGAGGAAAGAGCCTCTCTGTGGTGTTTTTAGACGAATGTTGGCAAAAATATGGAAAACAGACAAGTCTCTCCATCATGTTTGCAGAACCTGTGAATGGCCAGTAGATGAGAGAACTCTGACACAGGAGTGAACAGTTTTCCTGACCTGGTGGAGGCAGTCCGGAGGAAGACGAGGAGAAGCCGAGTGGAGGAAGGGAGGAGGGAAGAGGGAGGCGGCTGGCCGATGGAGGGAGACGTGTGGAGGAGGAGGAGGAGGAGGAGGAGTGCTCGGTTCCTCCTAAGTCCGGCTCCCCGCCCAGCCCTCCTCCTCCCAGGCCGAGCCCCGTCGCCAGCCCGTCCCGCTCATCGAGCTCCGCCAGGCGCTTGTGCTCCTCCTGCCAGTCGTCATCTGGAAGTAAAGACGTGCAGGTTGTACACATTAGTCTGCTTTAGAAGTTTAACAGAGTGTCTCCACTTCACAGACAGTAGAGGTGGAAAAAGGTGACTGACAGCAGCAGAGAACAACCATAGATGGGATTCAATCATCACAACCGAACTGGGTTCTCTGTCGTCCAATAAAACTCCACCACACATCAGGTATTAATTAATAACCCACTGCAAACGTGGAAGTAAACAACATGTTCTGCTTTGCAACAGCAGGTGTGAAGTTTAAAGGAGTCACACGGAGAAGAAAGTAAAACATGTTGGATCAATAAAATAAATGCAGCAAGTTGTTGGAAACAGACTCTACAGCTGATGTGCAGCGTGGAAAGAAAATGCTCGTAGAGTCTGTAAATAGTCATTACTCACATTCACAATGACCCAATTTGTGCAAAATGTTTGAAAATAATTTGTCAAAAATTGCCCAAAATTACATAAACTTGCAGAAATTGACTCAAAAATGTAGTAAAATGGTACAAACTTGTCCAGAACGGATTAGAGAACATTAAACATGCCTCAAAACGTGTCCAAAAATAATCATGAGAGGAAAATAAAAACCTCCTGGATCCATAAATAAACACAGCTCAGAACCAGAGAACAGAGGAGCCAGTCGTTGGAGATACATCCAGCATGATGGAACATCTTTCTACGGCTGATGGTGGAACATCTTTCAGGGCAGAGAGGAAAAGTCTGGAGACATGGAGACAGTTCAACATCTGCAGGACGTTATTTATGTTTGTGTCGATTTGTGTAAAATCAGAAGACGTCTCTGAGTTCTCTCTCCTTCTTCATGTTGTTCTGCTTCCACAGAGCTGCAGGACTTCATGTTGCAGTGAACAATGTGACAGGAGGGAAAGCCAATAAAAGCCTAAAAGCTGCCCAGAGTTCAGAGGACTAATGGGGAAACCAGTGTCGTCACAGAGGTGTTACGTTTGTCAGCGCAACCCATAAAAACAGGAATATGATGCAGTCAGATCATGTGAGTAATGAGTCTCGACTTTCTAGCTACAGGTCGTATCGCTGCTTCATAACCTGCTCTGCTGATGTTGAGTTATGCTAAAAACCAGCAGCCGTTCACACGTATTTTCTAACAGACCCCCGTGTGTAGTTGTGACTGAGCTCTAAGAGCAAACACACACGATCCAGATGTTTTATGCGAGACTCACCGATGGCCCCGGCTCCGAAGGTGTCGTCATTGAACTGATCGATTTCATCTTCCTCCTCAATCAATCCCTCGTCTTCCTCCTCCAACGTACAGTCTTCATCCAGGGACTGCAGGCAGGAACGGAGGCAGCGAGAGGAAGGTGGGAAGCAGGCAGGACAAACAGGGCAGAGAAGATGGAGGGAGGAGATAAGAAATAAAATGAAACTACTGCTGCAGCAGACAGGATTCCTACTGAGGGGCTGGGACTCATTAAAATGGAAAAAGCACAGTTTTGGCTGAGCTTCGCTGGTGCATTATACATGAATCCATACAAATGTGCAGTGAACAAAGTGTAAAGAGGAGGAAGAGGCTCTTAGGAATGTGTCTGAACTTCACGGAGAAGAAGCAAATCACAGTAAATGCCACATTTCCAGACAATCGCACCAGTAATGTTAAATAATAGAGCACTACAGGGGTTCTGCAATGGCCCTTTCACGTTAATAAGACTGTAGTAGCAGCAGGATTTTCCCCTGCATCAGTTTTTAATTTCAGGATCAGGCTACGTCCACACCAATGTGCTCTAAAACGCATGACTTCTAATACATTTCCTCCTAAAGTCCACACTGCTCTGAGGTTTCAGGTCCCACGGAATACGTGTTTTTAGGTGTTAGTAAGGTGTAAGTAAGTAAAGATTCTCTGAGCCTGGACGGCAACAGCACAGCCTTCAAAACCTGCTCCTCACCTGATCCCACAAAAAGCAGAAACTCCAACAGTAATTCGACTGACATCTACTCGATTGTGAAAAGATAACCGAACAAAAATAAGCTTAGGAAAACAGCTAGGTTCATTAATAACACTAATAAAGACTTGTTTTGATTATATGTCCAATGTCTCCATCATAAAAGGCCCTAGAAGAGGTTCACCAATATGAAATACAACCTCATTATCATATTCTACCTCTGCTGCTTTTTCTGGCATGAAATGTCAATATTTAGTGTAAAACAGTCACAATCAGTGCCGATAATCCTGCTTAATGCACTGAATTTATATCCATCTGGTAGTTTACTAAAGAGCATCTCTGGTTGTTGGAGAAGCTTCACACGATTGAAGTGTTGACTGGGTGTGTTGTGCTGCACACCCTCACGATTGAAAGAGTCTAATCACAGCCTCAGTAAACAATAGATCAACAATAACTGGTTTGAGGATGACGTTGTTTTGTAACTGCATGACAATAACAGACTCAAAACAACTTGACAGCAGAGACTCATTCATCAGCAAATGTGAGAAAAGCTTCCAACACCAGGAATAGACTCAAAGCAAATCCACAAAAAAATAAATTAATGGTACCACAACGTTACTTCTCATAGCTGAATGGTGTGATTAGGTGTCTGGACATTCTGATATTTGGTTTCACTCCAATATAACTGTTTGGAAAGAATCCTTCTTGAACGATTATTTTAGGGGGGTTATTTTGCACCAAAAATAAGAAATCAAAGCCGGATGTAACGTTCTTCATATGTTGGAACACTGACAAAAGCATCCAAAGTAGTGTTTCTCTTTGGTTGGCATTCAGATCTGACTTTGCACTTCTCCTTTGTGATGCAGATTTAAACAGTCCAAGAGACGATTTCTGGTGCGTTGTGTAGCGGCAACGATCGCAAGACTCGACCTGTGCCTGTTTCTGGTCCACATCATTATTCCTGCATTTGTTTTTGCAACTAAACCCTCTATCACAGTGTTCCTCTGCAGTCCGTTGCTCATCTTGTCACCAAACTGTATCCGTGTACCCTTAAAGCAAAGTATATTATGTTCTTTTCCTGTACATTAGTCATTGAAATATCTGAACTTTGCATCAAGCAGCAGATGTGCACATGAGCACAACGCGATGCCGATATGATATATTGTGCAGCCCTAACATGACAACTGCAGCTACAATCTTAGTTTTGGGCCTCAGATTAGAAGCACAATGAAGAAGGCATTTTATCATCTGAAGAACATTGCCAGGGTCCCACCAGTTGCCTGTGGAGCCAACACAGAGACACCACTACCTGCTTCTATTACCTGCTGGCCGGGAGGTGTTGTTTTTATCGACTTTTATTTCCTTTTGTATTACATTCAATTGAGATGAAAAGTAAATAAATTGGGTCGGACTGATTGATTTAAAGCTGCATCTCTAGACCCCAGACAGCGTTCATGTCATCTTGAGGTGCATCCAACAAGGACTTACTGTTAGTCTCAGTTATATTTCAGTAAAAGAGCTTAACTCCATATGATCAACACTGTTTTACAAACTGAACAAGGACCTTTTGGCTACAACACGAATCTGCTGCTACTGATGGTTCAGGATAGTGAGTTTAATTTGAGAACCGGCTGGTAGACTTCAGCCTCTGAGACTAAATAAATTCAGTTTAGGCAATAATTGGAAGCTAATAATCTCAGTTTTGTTAGCATAATAACATCTCAACTAGCATTAGGGTGGTTATAGTGTGCTCCGATTGTGATCAGTTGAATGAGGAATCCTCTTAAACACTTTGAACACTAGTCCAGGTCATCTAATAACATCCAAATGAACATCTAAACTAATGAGTGTAAATACTTTAGCACAATTAGCCTCACATATGAGTTGGCTAAGACAGTCATGACCTAGCATGGTTCCACATGCTGGGCAGGGCTGGTTATTAACTAATGATAGGTTTACTAGTTAGTAGCTTGACTTTGTAGGTTACCTAGTTCAGTTAAAATAATTAATTAAATCCATACAGGATTTGTCCACGAGCCGCTGACAGGCTGCAGGTAGCAGGGCAGCCCGTTAGCCTCGATGCTAACGCTGACGTTACATCACCTAAAACCCACGTCGATGGAAAACTGCTGCCCCGAAACTGACCGATTTTAAACCGTCAGAACAACCAGCACACACCGGCTGCTCTGAACGGCGATTTATCTGAGAAACGGCCCGTTCAATCCGGCCACAGGGGGCCGAGAGCGCTCTCCCTCCCTCCGGCTAACGTCAGCAGGCGAGCGGGCTGCTTCACAGGCCGCCAACCGCATTGAATGTGGCAGGCGCATAAACAATAGATAACAGGCGGCGTGTGGAGGACACACGGGCCGGAAATACAACCGGCTCACCGAAAAACACCCGACGTTCTCTCCCGTTAACGGCCGGGGCTGTTTTCTTTACGGGCAATAACTCACCTGAAATCGAAACATCTATCTTTAGGCTGTCGGGAAAAGAAGCGCATCGGGAGCGAGGCGGCGCGCAAATGACGCAGCAGGGACGTCCACTTGAACGGCGCGCCGTGAACGAGCACGCAGCGACGGGGGCGGCGCCGCTGAACGACGTCACGCTCAAAATAAGGAAGAAGGTTTAATTTGAGCAAAGTGCGACGAAGACGAGAAGTCGACGGTAAATAAGCCTTTAAAACAACTCATCTTCTTGTGTTTTTACTGTAGCAGCCGTTTTGTTATTTCAGTCATAGGCATTGTTGTGTTGGCAGCCTTTCCTACTCATTTATTACATGTAACAGATCACGATTTCATGTTAATAAATAATTAATCTCCATTTTTTTTTAAGGACAGGATATGATCTCCCTGTTAAGACGTGTAAAGGTTTCAGTATTTAGACGACTGTGTCCTCACGTCGCCATTCTTTATATTTGTGTATTTAAAAACGTGTACATTTAGTCAATAAATAACCAATATTTGAAATTTATGCCTAAACAAAAAATTAGATAAAGTTAGCGAAAAAAATAATGAAGCAAATAAAATGTTTAGTTCAAATTAATTTAAATTACGCAATAAGAAGATGGCGTCCACGCTGTGGATTTTTGGTGAATTAAAATAAGAAACATTTGAAATATAAGCAAATGCAAAAGCTTAAATAAAGTTAGCGAAGACAAATGTATATATATTTTTTAAAAAGCTAAAATTTTGCATTGACATCAAATAAAACAAAACAAATAGAGCAACTAGAAGATGGTTTACTGATATGAACACAACAATAAAAATATAAAAAATTAAGATGAGAAACTATTAAAAATATGAAGAATAAATAGAACAACAAGGAGACAGTGTCCTGACATGAGTTTTATTTCTGTTTATTTGATATATATATTTAAATACTGACATAAAGTTCTGCAGAACGCGTTGATCTGACGGTTTAGAACGAATCAGACGCCTTCATGCTGTTACTGAATCAGAACAAATGAGGTTTTGTATTATATATATATATATATATATATATAAAAGCTCTATGTGAAGGAGTCCTTTTATCACATGACAGTATTTATTAGAGGAACATGAACTGGAGTCCAAATTAAATTAACAAATAAATTGAAAAATATGGATTTCACATCTTTCTTTGTGATTTCTTTCTTGCTTCATTTTCTCCGTATTTGCTTCTTATGGTTCTGTTTGAAGCATATTATTATTTATGCTTAAGTACACAGCATATTATTTATTATGCTGTGTACTTATATCTATATTTTTTTCTTGCTGAATGTACAGTTTTACATTTTATGCGTATATTATTCTACTTACTATTTATATTTATTTTTATCCTTGTAGGACATATTTTTCCACTCACGATTATCTCATGTGTGTTTTTTTTTCTAAGACTTTTAATGGGAGAACCTGTACCGAGGCTCAGTGACGTCCTTCTGACTGGATCTCGGGTCAGAACATGGTCCAGCTGCTGCTCTGCTCTCTGGACCAGCTCATGGATTCTGGTTTCGGTCGACCTTTCCCTCGACATGGACTCCAGCTGCTCTTCTGGTTCGCCAACGACTGCGTCACCTGCGAGCCCGTTAATGTCATGAAGGTAAGTTTACTGTGATCAGACTGAACCGTTGTCTCCCTCTTCTGGCCGTGAGGATGATAAAACAATAATCTACCTGATGAGGACATTATTTACAGTTCTGGCCTGTTTTTTTTTAAAGGTAAACAGTGAAATAATACTTTCTTCTTCTCTGTGATGTCATCCTTATTATCTGTAATTTAACAAAACCGTAACAATCTGTAAAATAACAGCAAATACTGGCAACATAACAATGTTAGCTGATTTAAATACATTAAAATAAAACACTGTATTATTTCTTTTTGTTTGTTTTAAGGCTTATTGTGTAAATTACCTTTTAAACTAACATGACTTTTTCTGTGATGTTACTGGTTATTACCTGTAATTAAACAAAACTAGGACAAAATGAATCATAATGAATCGCTATTTTTAAATCCTTCATATGCATTATTTTATTAAAAATAACAATAAATAATATTTTAGCTGATTTATATACAGTAAATACAGATTTTTGATGTTGTTTTGTTTGTTTGTTTGTTTGTTATCATGGCTCCTCCCTCTAACTCGTATTCCTGAGGTGCCGTAGAAGTAGACTTTATGTTCACTGCTCTGTAATCCACACACGGATAATATTAACTCTATGTTTGCTGGATGTGTTTCTGGAGCTGGCGTCCGACTGTCAGCCGGAGAAAGGTTTCTACGGCTTCCACGTGTTCGGCAACGTGGAGGAGCTTCTGCCGGTGCTGCGCTCCACCAAGAGACGCAAGAACAAGAGGAAGGTCGGTGGTTTAAGGCTCTTCTCTGGTTTTCAGTTCAGCAGTTTTCACACGTGAAGCTCGGTTTAACTCTTCAGAACTTCAGCTTGTGAAAACACACAAATCATGTTTTTACTTGATGTCGGAGTTATTTACAGTTTTTTTGGCCTGTTTTTTTTCATTTTAAGTAAAATAATACTTTTTTTTTTCTGTGATTTTAATAGATAT